AGTTATAAGGGAGAGGCTTAGGGTTAGGATGAGCACGCCAACCCAAGAGCACCAATCAAAAGCACAAAAGTCCCTCCTCCGTTGGTAAACTGCTGTAAAAATTAACATATGCAGACCCATAGCAGAGGCCAGTAGATAGTCCCCGCTACTGTTTGCTTGAGCCCAAGATTTTGATGCCAGCCAGGCAACACAGCAAGACTTCATCTCAGAAAGAATATAGTCAGGCCAGGTGGTACATGCCTGTAATCCCAGTACTCTGAGGGGCTAAGGCAGGAGAATTGCACATTCAAGCCTAGCTTGGGTGATTTAGTGACACCCTTTCTCAAGGGGAGGTGGGGTAGATCAGTGGGAACACCCTGGGTTTAATCCCTAGTACTGGAAAAGGCGGGGGAGGTGAGAAGGTGAGGAGGGAATAAGAAAAAAAAGAAAAGGGAAGAAGAGGGGGATATGTAAGTATGTGTGTGTGCACTTGCACAGCAGGATAGTGGAATTCAAAAGAATTTGTGTTTTTAATTAGACTGTTGTTTGGTGTCTCTTTTGATGAAAAACAGAGTTCTCAACACTGAGATTCCATCTTACCCCAGAGAGAATGGCCATCATCAAGAAATCAAATAATGCTGGGGATTTAGCTCAGTGGTTCCACTGCCTGCCTTGCAGTGCAAGGTCCTGAGTTCGATCGCCGGTACCAAAAAAAGAAAAGAAATAAAATAATGTGGGGAGGCTATGAAGAAAAAGGAACCCTTCTACATTGTTGGTGGGAATGTAAACTGAAAACAGTACGGAGACTCTTTAAAAAAGTAAAAATACATGCTGGGCATGGTGGTGCACACCTGTAATCCCCACCACTCAGGAGGCTGAGGCAGGAGGATCACTGCGAGTTTGAGGCCAGCCTGTGCTACATAGTTAAGGACAGCCTGAACCATCTAGTGAGACCCTGTCTCCAAAAAAATCCATTTGACCCAGCTTTTTAAAAAAAATTTTTTTAAAGGAGTTTTCAGTATATGGACAAAAATACAGATATAGGGCAGCAAAGCCACAGATCTCAGAAAGCCTATTAAACCACTGAATCTATTCCAGAAACTTACTGAAACAACTATACTGGAAATAAGGCTTCAGTAGTGACAGCTAGCTATTTATGTCAAAGAATTACTAGTAATTTCCCAAAAAGCCAAGTTTTGCAGTTGTAATGGTCTGAAAATTAGATCCTTAAATGTGGATCCAAGCTGCTGCTGTGTAGGCTTCTGTTCCTGTGCAGCTTGTCCTCATGCTGATGTACAGTGCATGTAGATCTCTGGAAACCCAGCCTTTCCTTTATCCTGTAGCCCAGAGAGAGAGTGAGTGGTCTGAACTTCACCTTGACCGGGACCTGAATGCATAGAAATGTAGATAACACATGTTGGTCAAATGGCTATCAACACGTGCCATTGAGGTGTCTAATAGCTTGCAGGGCTGCCTGTTTCCTTTGAGGGACTATCAAGAATGAGGGCAGAGACTGGGGTGTAGCTCAGTGATAGAACACTTCCCTAGCATTTGGGAGGCCCAGGTTCACTCTTCAGTACAGCAGAATCATATTCTGGAAGTGATATCCTTAGCATGGAGCACTCTGATGGGCAGAGGAGGCTGATGGAGTTGAGAGAAAGCCAGTTCCCAAGCTTCCTGCCCCTTGGTTAGAGTCAGGAGGGCAGAGTTCTTTGACCTTAGATTGTGCCTCATTTGTTTGACTTGATCATGATAGAACTGCTAATAGATTGCTGCATAGACATTTCTAGAATGTTGCTGGTTTCTAGTGGGAATTAGAAACAGGCATCTGTTGTGGATGTAGTTGATGGAAAACTGCCATATTTTATTGAGTATTCTTGGTATTGGCTGGAATGTGTTATTTCTGAAGGGTGTTTTTTTTTTTCTGGAAAAACATGCTAGTTCTGGATCGTGGACTGGAAGCCACATGATCCAGAGTAGGTGAAGCAAGCAGACACCATGAAAGAAGACAACTTGGGAGGAGCTCAGCCTGCTTCTTGGTTCCTCCTCAGTGGCCGGATTTGAGGTGTCTGCCAAGAGAGGTGTGTGTTTGTGTGTGTGTGTGTAGTCAGCGAGACAGATCTGACACTCAAAAAATGACCCTCAGGGGAAGGGTGTGGACTGAGACAAGGATAAATGTGGGCCGTGGTGCCTAAGCCAGTCTGTAGGCAGAATGGGTTAAAGCTTTCCCTTCTGCTGGGCGCCTTCTAAAGTCAGCCACCGGGAGCCCTTAGGGGCTGGCCCTGAGTTCTCCTGTTGCGGTGGTAGAGGGAGGGAGATGGGGCAGGCCAAGCTCCCTCCCTGGCAGTGCTCCTCCAATGACAAGGAGAAGAGCTTCGACTGAACACACCCCCTCCTGGCGCTGCAGCAGAACGGCCAGGCCCTCTGCCTGGCTAGCTCGCTCGAGCTCAGCTCCCCCTCCTGCCATCTTCCGTTGCAAAGCATTTCTGGGAGCTGCATGTGGGTGACGCAGCAGCATTGTTCACAGGCACAGGAAGCCACGGCTGAACTGAAGGGCTCATGAAGGAGCTTAGAGCGGTGCACGCTGCTCTCTCTGGATAGTCTGAAGGGTTAGAGCCGACTGCCCTGCCTTATGTGCTCTGGGAAATTACAGAATTTTCAAGTAAATCGGGATTTTCCTAGAGGCAGAAAACCTAACTCCTTCCGCACAACTTCCAACACAGAAAACAAAACAAAGACGGTGGGAAAACTTCACCAAGAGCTCGGCAGCTCCAGAGCGACAAGAAACGCAAGGTCAGGCGATCAGTTGGCAAACCCATTCTGGTTTGGGGTGTGTATTACTGTAGGGACTTTGTCTCAGCAAAGAGGCAGAAGAGCTGCCTGACAGGCAAGTCCAGGACAATGCTTATGTTACTTGGTGTTGCTTGAGCCATCATTGCATTTGATCCCTCACTGGTGGGATATGCTTTGGAAGTAGGTTGCTTTGCTTTTGAGAATGCTTTTCCCCTTCTGCTTAGACGTTTCTTTTCTCTCTTCCTCTGATCTGTAGGGTGTGGGCCTGTATTTGAATGTTCTCCTAAATGCCTGGAGTCTAGATAGGCGTCAGCCTTTCCGAAGTCCACCTCCGCTCCCCTATCCCAAGCCCCCTCTGGTGAGGGGTGGTGGCTTCTTTATATGGTTTCTTGTAGGGCCTCAGCTGGAGTCTGCCTTTTTTGATGAAAGCAGGGCGTGCTTAGGTGAATGGCCCCAGCGAAATAAGGCTTGGAAGGAAATCTGCATTTCCCTCCACACCCACACATACCCCTGTAACAGCCATGTATGTGTGAACAGCTGCCCCCCAACACACGCACCACCGACAGTTTCTCCGCCTACCCTTCCCTATGACACCCACAAAAGTCTTACAGGTAGAATTAGACTGCTTTTGGTGAACAGTTACGTTCCTTTTCTGCTCTTTTAAACAATCACAGATCTTTCTATGCAGTTTGTTTTGCTGAAAGTGGAAAGTCCCTGTTTGTGGACAGCTCAGTTCTCTCCGGCAAAGGAAATGGGCAGAGTCCTACTCTTCAGCAGTGTGAAGTGGGGGAGGGGGGAGCAGTGCACTCCTTAGTGCACATTTTGAATGGACCCAAATTTTTCACCCTGGAAAGATTAGAAACCCTGACCAGAGCCTTGTCCCACGTGGCACCACACCCCGCCTCTTCACCCCTATGCAGTATAGAACTAACAGGAGGCTCCAGAATAGGATGCCATAGCAACTTGAAGTAAATAAAACTTTGCAGATGAGACCAGTTGGAGGGAAGGTGTGAGGCGTCTAGAAACTTGGCAGAGGAGGATGTTCATAGGGGAGCTTCTTAGGATTTTGCAGGGTCTTCCGAGTCCAATTCTGGGATTTGGAACATCATCATTAAAGATAAAAAAGTCGTGATTATGAAAATGATTATTAAAGATCACCAATTCTAGGATTTGGAACATCATCCTTAAAGATAAAAAAGTCGTGATTATGAAAATGATTATTAAAGAAGGCCTGAGCATGCCGACCTGTCTAGGTCAAAGTTTAGTCTTTGCTGAAATAGTTCCTATCCTGTACAAGTGTAACTTTTCCCCCGATTTGCATTCTTTTGCTGTGGCGTTGCTTTAGGGCCTCTGAGGTCAGAGGAAGGAGACTTTCATTCTACTAGAAGGTTTGGGCTTCATAAATTGCTGTCGAAAATGTGACAGATTTGTCTCGAAAGTATGATTAACTTAAGTGGCAGTTTCTTTCTGTAGCATTGTTCCTAAGTCACTCATTTAATTGGTTAAAGCCATAAGAAGTATTGCCCCCAAGACTAAGACTGTGCCCACTCCATTAATATGAATAAAGACAAATAGCTGACTTTGTGTGTGTGTGTGTGTGTGTGTGTGTGTGTGTGTGTGTGAGAGAGAGAGAGAGAGAGAGAGAGAGAGAGAGAGATTCTATAAGCAGCCTTAGAAAAACAGAATTCTGTGTCAAATCAACATTAAAGCTCTGTACTCCTGGGAGTGTAGCTCAGTGACAGAGCACTTGCCTGGCACATGTGAGGTTTGGGGGTCAATCCCCAGCACCACAAGAAACAAAAAAGCTCTGCTACTCATATTCAGTGTTAGCCAGTCACTTTGATTCACTGTTGCACCCATCTGCAAAATGAAGGCAACACTTGAAGGGACAATATAAAGTTTTAGTGTCATATATAGAATTACATGATAAGTAACACTTTGTTGCTGCAGTAGCTAGTTGCTTTAATGTAAATGTTAGCCTGAGTACACAAGTAAAGAGGTGGGTATAAAGGTAAAGGTAAGTTTGAAGTCTTGATATTACTATAGTAGTCTGAGTTTTCTCTTTTATCTTTGATTTCCTCATTTTTAAATATGAAGGCAGTTGCCAACCTGATATTTCCCTTGGTGCTTTTGAGGCCACTGAGGCCAAGTGGTTGGCTGCTTCTGGGAGTAGTTGGTACTGTGCTTATCAGGCCTTGCTTTTTCCTTCTCTCTTATCTTATCCTTAGATTTTGCTTGAGGAGCTTGCCAGTAGCGATCCCAAGTTAGCCCTCACTGGAGTCCCTATAGTACAGTGGCCAAAAAGGGATAAGGTAAGAAACTCTTCTGCTTAATCTTCAAACTGCTTAAGCATTTGTTAGCTGATCATTACCATTCCTGGAAGAAAAGAACAACTATATATCTTTTGGTACTTTAATACACACTGACAGAAAAATCACTATTCAGTTTTGTCCTCTTAGGTCAGGGTAATTGGCTATCTTTGGAGGTGACTATCTTAATAGAATTCTCAAACTGCAAGGTGTCTCTCTAGATTCAGATGCAAAGTTGTACATTTGTGACCAAAGTGATCACTTCCTATGCTTTTGACCCAGTGACTCAGTTACCTTCACAGATATTGTTTAAAAGTGGTTAAAGTAAGTTCATATACATTTAAAAGATGAGAGTTTTCTTTATTATAATGGGACCCTACTGAGAATTCCCCTTAATTGGGACTTTTCAGTATAAAACTGAAAAGAGAAGAAAAGAATTACCATCTGTTAATTGTCAGTTATGAATCTTCATGTTCCCTATGAATTTTTAGCACATCATCCTCTTTTACGGTTATGTTAAATGATAGCATCTGATCCTAGTCATGAGTTTAGTAGATAAATTAGGCCATTCTTTGGTATTGACTAACTGGCATTGACAAAGCCATCGCATTCCACGAATGGTTAAAGAGTGGGACCACTTACCCCTTCATAGGTGGCAGAGTCCCACTTAGCCACATAGGACTGCCTCAAAACAGTCCAGTCATTTCTGGCTGTTGAGTATTTTGTGTCAGAAAAGTCTTTAAGACCTGGTAGGAAATTAAAGTAGTAGAAAATATGATCCTTGGCCTTGAAAAGGTCACTAGCAAGGTAAATGCAAGTGCTAAAATTATAAACATTTACCTGAGCAATCTGTTCCATACTTAAATGTTAATTGGAGTATGTGCTGTGTACCAGCTCATTTGCTGGGATTCAGAGTGGTAAATGAACAAGACTAGTTTGACCCTTGAGTAATTTGTTGTCCTACTTATTTCAGAGCATATTCTGAGTAGTCAGTATAAGGAAATACTAGAAGGCCCCTAGGGTGACTTGAGTACATGACACTTACCCAGAAATCTTCAGGGATGGATAAATCTTAAGTTCTGCAAAATGAACAGGATGTGGCTGAAGCAGTAGACTGAAGGGCTAGGATAGGGGCTGGCAAGTTTTTCTGTGAAGATTGAGATGGTAAATATTTTACAGTTGGTATGCCACTCAACCATGGCTTCTCTCAGTTCTACCATTGTAGCATAAATACAGCCATACACAATACATAAACAAATGAGCATGGTTGTGTTCTAGTAAAATGTATTTATGGGGGCCGGGGATTTAGCTCAGTGGTTCCGCCGCCTGCCTTGCAAGTGCAACGACCCAAATTTGATCCCCAGCCCCCCCCCCCAAAATGTGTTTATAAAAACAGCTAGCGAGCAGATTTGCCCACAAGACATAGTGCTTGCAGAGTTCCAAGCTAGCTATACCACCATGTAATCTTCTACCTTCTGCAGTTTTAATGCAATTTGATATGGTTGACCTCCCTGCTTTCTCTTTCCAGCTTAAATTCCCCACCCGGCCAAAGGTGCGGGTTCCAACCATCCCTATCACAAAGCCTCACACTATGAAACCAGCTCCACGGCTAACACCTGTGAGGCCTGCGGCTGCCTCTCCCATTGTGTCAGGAGCCAGGCGAAGAAGAGTGCGCTGTCGGAAATGCAAAGCCTGTGTGCAAGGAGAGTGCGGTGTTTGCCACTACTGCAGGGACATGAAGAAGTTTGGAGGACCTGGACGCATGAAACAGTCCTGTGTCCTCCGACAGTGCTTGGCAGTGAGTGAGCTGCTGGGTAAAAATGTTGGGGGAGGGGCGTGGGTGCCAGAGGGACTGGAATACAAGTGGAATAGAACCAGAGACTGCAGAGCTGAGAAGTTATGCTGTCTTTGACTTTCTTCATTTTGTCCTCTCCCTGGATTCAGAAAGAAAATATCTAGTACTAAAAACAATCTAATCTTTTGGCCTTACTTGCCTAATTTTCAAACAGGAGACTAACATTTAAAGGTCAAGCCACTCACCTTCCATCCCTTCTTTAAGTGAACTAGGAGGACTTGTGAGCCTAAGAACAAGCCAACTCAAAGTGAACATATTTCTCTTAGTTTCTGGTTCTCAAGCAGTTGAGTCCTCTGATCCTCCCCATTTTTTCCCACCAAAACCCCGTCTTTTCTCTAACCTGTCTCATTGCTCCCCACCTATTTGGTAGAAAATTAAGAACCAAACCTCCTGTCTTTAAAGGGAAGCTGAAATGGTAAAGATTTAAATCTGTTCTCTTAGTTTTTGTCTTTGTCCTTTTGTAGCCCAGACTGCCTCACTCAGTCACATGTTCCCTCTGTGGAGAGGTGGATCAGAATGAAGAGACACAGGACTTTGAAAAGAAACTTATGGAATGCTGTATCTGCAATGAGATTGTTCACCCTGGCTGCCTTCAGGTGAGGAGAATCTCAGATGCTAGAAAAATAGAAGGGTGGGAAACCCGTCACAAAAGGCTGCCACTATCTCTACAGTGGACCCTCAGCTCCATAGTGGAGTGGTCTTAACATCTAACATTGAAGGAGTCCTCAGTGTGTATCACGTTCAGTGCACAGCTGAGCTTTTAAAAAGTAGTAAGGAAAGCCAGGTGTGGTGTCACACACCTATAATCTCAGCACTTGGGAGGCTGAGGCAGGAGGATTGCTGTGAATTCAAGGCCAGCCTGGACTATACAGTGAGATCCTGTCTCAAAAAACTACACATACACACCAGTGGGCTGGGGATTTAGCTCAATGGCACCAAGCCTGCAAAGTCCTGAGTTTGATTCCCGGTACCAAAAGAAAAACCTACATACACCCAAAAGTAGTAAGGAAGGGCCTGAGCATGGTGGCATAGGCCTGTAATCCCAACCCTCAGGAGACTGAGGCAGAGAGTTCAAGACCAATCTGGGCTACAGTGAGTTCAAGGCAAGACCCTGTCTCAAAAAAAAAGAAACCAAAAATAAGTAGTAAAGAAGTGCTGCCCTCAACCTCAAGAGATAGAATAGCCAGGGCTGGGGATTTAGCTCAATGGTTCCACCGCCTGCCTCGCAAGCGCAAGGACCCGAGTTTGATCCCCGGTCCCCCCCAAAAAATTTGAGATTGAGATAGAATAGCCAGGGCAGAGAATTACTGTTTTACATGCACTTTCTTTTTAATCTTTAAGACTATATCTATTACAGTTACATGGGTGACTGGATATGATGGTGTATGCTTATAGTCTCAACTATTCCAGAGTCTGAAGATCAGTTGAACCCACGAGTTTAAGACCAGCCTGAACAACATAGCAAGAACCTATCAAATAAATAATGAATGAATCAGTGCTGTGACTTTTTTTTTTTTGCCTTTTCAGAAAGTGTCAGCTATTTATGACTGCCATTTGACTGACAGTGATTATAGATATTGTCAATTGTGAGAAGTAGACTAACTTTATAAAAAGTATGCATCTTAGAATTGATGAGTATTATCTCCATGGTGATAATGGTTATTCAAAGTGTTTAAGCAAATGCCACTTTTCTAATCACTTTACATAATATACAATTGATTTAGCTGAGTGTGATGGCACACCTGCCATAATCCCAGCACTCAGGAGGCTGAGGCAGGAGGATTGCTGGGAGTTTCAAGGCCAGCCTGGGCTACATAGTGAGACCTTGTCTCAAAAAAAGCCCCATTTAATCCTTACCACAATCCTGCAAAATACACATGGTTTTATCCCCATTTCACAGTCACTAGATTTTTTTCTCTGTACCCAAGCAGTCATAATGATTTAACTCCCCAAGATCAGGCCTGGCAAAATTGGCAAGATATCATCTGGAGAGCAGACCCAAATTGACCCAGATTCTTAAAAAACTTTTTTGGGGGGAGGGGTTTAAGACAGAGTCTCACTTTATAGTTCAGGCTGGCCTCAAGCTCAGTGATCCTCCTGCCTCTGCCTCCTGAGTGTTGACCTTACAGGCGTGCACTACCATACCTAACCTTAAAAGATTCTTCCTGGAGCCTGCATTTGACAAGTAACCAAGAATGAGAGTGGCCAGTTTCTGACGCTGGGAGTAGGTATTACTGTCACCTGAAACCAAGTAGTTCTCTCATTTTTCCTCCCCAGTGGACCAATGTGTTTAGAAATGGGTAACTCTCTAGCTGCTTCTTACCTGTGTTAGTGTGTAATGAAGGTAGAAGAGACCGACTCGTTTTAATTGTCTCTATTTGCCTATAGATGGATGGAGAGGGTTTGCTTAATGAGGAATTGCCAAATTGCTGGGAGTGTCCAAAGTGTTATCAAGAGGACAGCTCGGAGAAAGCTCAGGTAAAGGAACCACACCAACTTCTTTTGTGACAGGAAAAGAAGCATTCAGCTTGGGAAATTGCTATACATTTGCCTTTGCAACAGTGTTCAGGGCTTCTTTGATTGAGGGAGATCATTTTTATTTTGTTTGATTTTTCCTTTGGTTACTTGTTGAGTTTTTAGTGTGTTTTGTTGTTGTTGTTGTTTTCATTAGTTTTTTGTATTTCTAAATATTGTACTACTTGGGCTCCTGAAATTCCTGAAGTCTTGTTATACTCTGGGGCACTAGAAAGGGAGGAACCACAGCCGGGCTGTTGAGGGAAATAAGGTATGTAGGCTCTCTCCCAAGGAATGTAACTAGAGGGGACGCAGTGGCCTAGGGTTACCCTTAAATACTGGAGTTTCCAGTTAAGCAGGTTCACATATTTTGTCGTCTTCACCTCTGTGGCCTCACAGAAGGATCTGCCTACCCTATGTGCCCAGGTGTGTCATTCACAGGCAGCCCCTGTCCTAGAGGGGATGGGAACCAGCTCCATGACCTTGGCCAGGGGAGCTGAGATTGCTAGCCTATTGGTTGTCAGTAGTGTTAATGTCTAAAAGGGCTCTGGTTCCTTAGGCTGGCAAGCCAAGATCTGCTACGGGCACATACAGGAGGAAGCAGCAGGCCTCATGTCAGTCTTCCAGGGACCCTCCACTAGAGTTGGGAAGGGGGCATGAGAGTTTCCTTAGCTTCTGTTTATTTCTTCTATTTGGGCACCAGGGTAGTTGAAGTTACAGTTTTAAATGTTTTTGAGGGCAAGGGTTTTGGGAAATGACTAGTGTTAAAGTTCTTTTTCCAAATTCTTAGACTAGTGGCTTTTACATTTGTCCTGGTGGTGTTGAGGTTTGGCATCTCTGATGCAGCAGGTGGGTTGACAGATGCTGTGTTTCAGTTACTTTCTAATTCCTGTATGTTGTAAAACCCAACGCCTAGAAGATGGTCATTCCCTCCCAACCACATGACCAAAGAATGTGAGGAGAAAAAGGAACATAGCCCAGGACTATTGCTAAGGGACATAAATTATCTCCTTAAGGAAAATCTGAACTACTGATAGATAGGGCTCCTCTGGCAGTATCGACCAGGCTTTGTCACAGTGTAGCCAAGGTGGTTTCCTGGAAAGGACAAGTGTCTGGTGAGAGAGCCACAGGATGAGGTGTGGGCCTTGTGAGGAGTTCCTCACAATGATCTAAAGCAGATCCCTTGGCTGTGGTGCAACTTCTCACCGAGGTTCTCGTTCTACTTTCTCACATGGGCGAGAAGTAGAAGCTGTAGCTGGGAAAGTGTGGCTGAAATGCTGGAGAGCTAAAAGTCTAAAAGTTGGTGGCTTTTGCTGCTCTTGGCCTCTGCTTCATCATCTAAGTATTAGGTGGGCTGTTTTTTTCCACCACTAATAAAATCACTTGAGTGAAAGAGCTGAATGAGAGGCAAGATTTAAAATAATTGAATTATATAGGGTATTTAAACAGTATTTTTCCCAGGGGATTATCCAGGAGTTGGGACAAGAAATGGATAAGATGGGGTATAGAATCAAGCAGTCTAGATTTGGATCTCATTCCTCTGTACTTGAACACAATCCTTTTTGTCACAGATAGATTTCTCAAGTGACCCATTTAATGATTTTTGTCCCATAATCAGTGTTCTCTGGTACAGGCATGAGCTTGGTTGCCCATCTTTGCAAAGTCTAAATTGCAGGCTCTGAGGAAATTTGAACCCCTCTGGCAGCAGTGACCAGTCTTCTTTCAGGCGCACCCTGTCAGCTTAGAGGGTTTGGAAAAAAAGAAGCACTGATGTTGCTTTTCTGGGCGCATTTTGCAGAAGCGGAAAATGGAAGAGAATGACGAAGAAGCTGTGCAAGCCAAAGTCCTGCGGCCCCTGCGGAGCTGCGATGAGCCCCTCACACCCCCGCCCCATTCACCCACTTCCATGCTGCAGCTCATCCACGACCCAGCTTCCCCCCGGGGTATGGTGACTCGGTCATCCCCTGGGGCTGGCCCCAGCGATCACCACAGTGCCAGCCGTGATGAGCGCTTCAAACGGCGGCAGTTGCTGCGGCTGCAGGCCACAGAGCGCACCATGGTACGGGAAAAGGAGAACAATCCCAGCGGCAAAAAGGAGCTGTCTGAAGTTGAGAAAGCCAAGATCCGGGGATCGTACCTCACTGTCACGCTACAGAGGCCCACCAAAGAGCTCCACGGGACATCCATTGTGCCCAAGCTGCAGGCCATCACGGCCTCCTCTGCCAATCTTCGCCATTCCCCCCGTGTGCTAGTGCAGCACTGTCCAGCCCGAACCCCCCAACGTGGGGATGAGGAGGGGCTGGGGGGAGAGGAGGAGGAAGAGGAGGAGGAGGAGGAGGAAGATGACAGTGCAGAGGAGGGGGGTGCAGCCAGGCTGAATGGCCGGGGCAGTTGGGCTCAGGATGGAGACGAAAGCTGGATGCAGCGGGAGGTCTGGATGTCTGTCTTCCGCTACCTCAGCCGCAGAGAACTTTGTGAATGTATGCGAGTGTGCAAGACGTGGTATAAATGGTGAGCAGGGATACAAGGGGTCAGGAATAGGGGTTTGGGAGTAGGTGGCAGGTCTTCTGTACGATAATGGGATACACCTTAGCATCTGAAGGCTTCTCTTCTAGGGTCTATAAGGAGTCAGTGGACTCCATTTGTTTTCTAGGGTGTGAGTCCTGTTAAAGATATGGCAGCCCATTGTGTCTGCAGATGTTGTTAGGCGAATTCGACCCTTTGCCTCATCTCCCTGCTCTGTGTTTTCCCAACTCTCTTTGGCTTGGGGAGGGAACTGATTTGGGAGATGGATTTGTACACTGTATACTAAATCCTCAGAGTCTTACAGGGCGGAAGTCCTAACACATAGTCAGTTCAACTCATCATATGTTCAAAGTCTCTGATGTGCTAGTCATCTTCTGGTTTTGATGACACAGACAGCTATACCTAAAGCCCCTCAGAGAAGTGGGCATGCTTTCCAAAATGAATTTGAGAAGCTTATGATATTCCACAGTTTTAATTCTCTCAGTCCCTCAAACCTGAACCAGGATTCCTTTCCCCATCAAGCAGGGTCCACTTGTGAAGCTTCCTGAGACTTAGTTGTCCTTATTCATGAAATTGATCATTTCTCCTCAAGTTGAACAGACATTTAGTGGGAAGAATCCCTAGTGGTGATGAACAAAGACCTTTCTGTTCAGCATTGTGGGTTTTACCTTAAGCTCTAGGATATATCCCTTATATCTGGGTCACACCCTGTTATAGTAGTTCTCAATATGTGGCATCTTGTCATGGGCATCTCCGTGTGAACTTGTTAGAAATACAAATTCTAAGTCTGCATGTTATCGCATGTCTGTAATCCCAGCACTGAGGGAGACTTAAGACAGGAGGATTGCAAGTCCAAGACCCTTCTCAAAATAAAAAGGGGCTGGGATGGAGCTAAGTGTAAAAGCCCTGGATTCGATTGTAAGTACCACCACCACCGCCGCCCTGCCCCCCCCCCCCCAAAGTAAAAGTGCAGATTCTGTGGGTCAGGTCCAACATTGCATTTTTTTTTTTTTTTTTTTTTTTTTTGGTATTGGGGATTGAACTCCAGACCTTGTGCTTGTGAGGCAGGGGGCGGTACCACTGAGCTAAATCTGGCCCCAACATTGCACTCTTGAGAGCCCTCTGGGAGACTGCTCAAGTTTGAGCACCACTTCTCTATGCTCTGTAGTCAGCAGCTTGCTCCTGCCATAGAAGTTTGATGTGTCACTGGTGAAATATAGTCAGTCTTTAAAGACCATATTTTCTCCCAATACACGTTTATTTCCCAAGCCAGAATTAATGTGATCAATCCAGATTCTCTTTTAATATTTTTCTTTGTAGGGCCGGGGATTTAGCTCAGTGGTTCTGCCACGTGCCTTGCAAGTGCAAGGTCTCAAGTTCAATCCCCAGTACAAAAAAAAAAA